TTAAAAGAAAACGCCACGGCCCGTCGGCCCCACGCTCCAGAAGGCCGGCTGCTAGGACAAAAGGGCGACCGGTTATCACAGCCACGACATGTTTAGGAATTCCAGTGGCTCCTTACTAATTACTCCCCTGATCGTCCTCCCGTCCCCCTACTGTCGAGGCCGCGGTTCAAAACAGGGATAAGTAGCTTAGCCCTGCTGCAGCCGGCATGGCTGCTCCTGCCAAGGCACGTCTACGGATTTGCCGGCACAGCATAATGATGGTGATGCTGGTGATGATGATGAATGATGGTTATGGTGATGGATGATGATGGTGATGATGATGGTGGTGGTTTAGCTTTAGCTTAGCATCAGCTTAGCTTTAGCTTAGCTGTGCATGAGCTTTAGCTTGGCTTTAGCTTAGCTTTACTTCAGCTTTAGCTTAGCTTCACCTTAGCTTCACCTTAGCTCTATCTTAGCTTAACCTTAGCTTTACCTTAGCGCTACCTTCGCTCGAGCTTAACTTTAGCTTAACTGTAGCTTAGCTTTAACTTAGCTTTAGCTTAGCTTTAGCTTAGCTTTAGTTTAGCTTAATCTTAGCTTAAGCTCAGCTTTATCCAGCTTTAGCTTGGCTTTAGCTTAGCTTTGGCTTAGCTTTAGCTTCGCTTTCGGTGGCGCTGATGATACTGACGATGATGCTGATGCTGATGATGCTGCCGATGATGCTGATGATGCTGATGGTGATGATAACGATGATGATGGTGATGAGGATGATGATGTAAATGCCAATTCTCATGATATCTGCTCTGCTGTCATCGCATGGTGGACGACCTGGTGTCTGCTCGGCTGCTAGACCCTAATATACCCCAATTGGTCTACTCCGCGCGAGCCCGTTCAGTCACGACGGGGAACTCTGAACACTAGGCGGGCGCCAGTGTAAACGCGGGAACAGCGTCACTAAAACAGGTCCGATGTGCATTCAAACCACGAGGCTGCCATAAAATCGGATCAGCCATTCAGAAGTTGGCCTGCCACAAACAAAACTCGCCAACGAGAAACTCAGCCTGGGGCAGCTCACGGCAGCCTGTCATCGTCATTGTCACCGCGACCGCCTGCCATAATCGCACCAAGATCTTCAGATGCACACATGCGGTGGATCTGGGCCGCCAACGCTGCCATCGGCGAATCCGACGCTGCTGAGGCCGATGACGACGGCGCAACTGGCGATGATGATGCCGTCGTGCTGGACGTGTCGGTGGCCTCCTTCGGCGACGCCATGCTGCCGGCGATCCACGCCGACGGCGGTGGCGTCGCTGGTGCTGCGGCCGCCTCGGCCTCCGGCGGAGGCTGGTCCTGGATGGCGAGAGGCGGCGGTGCTGGAGGCTGGGCCGCTGCGCCCAGCGGCGCCGCCGCCGACGGCCCGCGGCCAGGCCACGGGCCTCCAGAGGGGTACTCGTTCCTGAAGAGGCGTAGCAGCACACTCCTCCGACACGCCAGAAACTAATTATTTTCCCTCCTCCTCCCGCCTTGTCCGCCTCCCCCTCCCTCCTCCCTCCTCCTTCTCATCTCGTCCTCTTCCCAACTATCCTACCTCCCCCCCTCCTCCCTCCTTGTCCGCCTCCCCCTCCTTCACCACTCCTCCTCCGCCTCCTCCTCCCGCCCTATCCCTTTAACTTCTGAGACTTCCCTCCGGAACTCCGACCTTGCTCCCCCCACTCGCTCCTCCTGTAGTGATCCGTCGGCGGGCCGCGGCACTGCTCGATCAAGCGGCGCGTGTGGTAGCCGCCGCCCTCCCGGAGCCACGCGCCGCAGGTCGTGCAGAACAGCATTTCGCGGCGCGTGCGGAGGACGCGCACGTCGGCGTGCGACGCATGAACCACGCTGAGCAGTCCATGGCCGCGTGGTGTGATCCAGTCGATTGACCACAGCTGCTGGCGAAATGGCGGCACCATCTGCCCGGAAATCTCGCGCATTGCGTATCGCTGGGGGCTGCGGGAACGGTCAGCCATCCTCCGGATGCTGCCTAGATTCCTTCTAACAAACAGCCAAAAATGGCTGTATGGTGTGATGATGCTGTTGCTGGCGCTGCTGTTGTTGATGTTGGTGTTGATGTTGCTGTTGCTGGTGTTTGTGCTGCTGCTGCTGCTGCTGCTTGTGGTGCTGCTGCTGGGGCCATCTTGGGGGTAGGAGGAGAAAAAGGAGGAGGAGGAGGAGGAGGAGGGGGAGGAGGAGGAGGAGGAGGAGGAGGAGGAGGAGGAGGAGGAGGAGGAGGAGGAGGAGGAAAAAAGGAAAAGGAGGACAGGGAAGAGGAGGAAGAGCAGGAAAGCGGCACAGGAAGGATGAGGAGGAGGGAGGAGGCAGGAGGGAGGACAAAAAGGCCCGTTTATCACACGAGGTGTTCCCCGCTGGTGTCTGGAAACTTGTCATTGTGGTAGCACACGCGGCACGGAAACAACAAAATTATCACAATGCGACCCTACCTAGGAGTTGGAGCATTCAGGGAAGCAGCATCTACATTTACACCGACAGCTACATTTACATCAACAGCGAGCATAGACAGCAGCAGCAACAACAGGAGGGGGATGACAAGGCCAGGAGAAGGATGACAGACGATCCACAGCTGGAGCTTGTGCCCCTTTCTGCTGACCCATATTCTGCATGCGCCTCAATTCTGCCCTAACCTACACCACCTTGCATTAGCACCCTCCATGAGCTCTCTCGGAGGCCTGCGTAAGTCTCATGAGCCTGTCATTCAAGCGACGACTTCGTTTTGAAAAGGAGCCGACCCCATCTCTGCAATCGCCATAAAACCATTGACGTCGAGGTTGTGTCAGGCTGAATCCCACCAGCCCTTTGGGCTTAGGTGGTATAGCGCGTTATTTTCTTCTCTCTACCCCTCCCTCTACCCCCTCCCCTGGGCCTGGGAGGGGGGGGGCGGAGGCGCCACAGCGCCCAAGATGGCCCAAGAAGGCTCCAAGAGGGCTTCAAAGTCGCAAGATGGCCTCCAAGACGGCCCATGCTACTTCAAGAAGGGTAAAGACAGCTTCCAACATACCCCCAAACGGCCCCAAGACAGCCCCAAAACGGATCCAAACGCCCTCAGAGCCCTCCACGGCGCCCTCCAAGATGCCAAGCTAAAGATAAGCTAAGTTTAAGCTAAAGTTAAGCTAAAGCTAAGCTAAAGCTAAGCTAAAGGGAGCCGCCTGGGGCGTGGAACGCTGCCCGGCCCTTTAAGCCAACATGGTAGGAACCCTTCTAGGCAGAGCCTGGGCAGGGAATAAAGTAAGAAGAGCCTAGGTAGGGAATAAACCTGAGCTAAGATGAAGATAAGCTAAGCTAAGATGAACTAAGCTCAGCTAAGATGAGATCGGCAACGCTAAGCTAAGCTAAGATGAGCTACGCATGATATAAGCTAAGATGGTATTAGCAATCTAAGATGTGATAAGCTATGCTAATAAAAGCTAATATGAGATAAGCAACGTTAAGATATGCTAAGATGAGCTAAGCTAAGATGAGATAAGCAACGCTAAGCTAAGCTAAGCTGGGCTAGGATGGATACGCTAAGCTAAGATGAGATACGCTAAGCTAAGATGAGCTAACCTAGCTGGGGGAACCGCGGGGCGGATGCGGTCCACTGCCCGGCCCTTTGAGCTTATACAGTAAGAACCCTTCTAGGCAGAGCCTAGGTAGGGAATATTTAGGGTAAGAACAGGGGGAGGAGGAGGAGGAGGAGGAGGAGGAGGAGGAGGAGGAGGAGAGGAGGAGGAGGGGGAGGAGGAGGAGGAGGAGGAGGACAAACAGAAAAGAAGGAGGGGGCGATTACAAGGAGGACGAGAAGTCGGGCTTAGGGGATATCATATTGTGGTGAGGGCGTCTTCGAAGCGTCGCAATGCCATTTTGGCGCCATCTTGGAGCCCTCTTGGGGTCCTCTTGGGGGCTTCGTGGGGCCCTCTTGGGGCTCATTTGGGGAGTCTTGGAGCCGTCTTAGGGCTTTTTGGGGAGGTTTGGGAGGCCTCTTGGGGCCGTCTTGGGCCCCATGGCTACAACAGAGGGGGTCGTCCAATTCCCGTCGCCCCCTCGGAAACTCACAAATGCTGTGTTGGAGCCGTCTTGGGCCGTTCTTGGAGCGTTTTTGGCCGCTCTAGGGGCCGTCTTGGGGCTCTCTTGGGACAACTTGGGGCCATGTTGAGGATGCCAAAGCCCATTGGAAGCGAAAGGGCGATAATGCCTGACACATTGATTTTCCCTAGGCTTTTCAAAGATGTTGGCATCTTGGAGTGTGCCGTTGAAGGCTCGAAAGGCACTTGGATCCGTCTTGGGGCAGCCTTCAGGTGTCGGAGGCTACCTTGGGCCATCTTGAGCTATCTTGGGTCATCTTGGAGGCCATCTTGCGTTCTTTGAGGCCCTCTTGGAGCCATCTTGGGCCAAAAAGGACCCCTCAGGGGGGGGAGGTATATCAGGGAGGTTGGAAACAGAAACGCTCTAGACCACCTCCGCCCAGAGGGCTGGTGGGATTGAGGGACCTCCTCTTTTTGATCCATGGGGCCCAAGATGACCCCAAGAGGCCTCCCAGCCTCTCCCCAAAGACCCTCCACCCCGCCCTGTTTGGCCCAATATGGCTCCAAGAGAGCCCTAGATAGGCAAATGTGGTTTTCAAAATGGCCTAAGATAGCCAAGCATGGCTCAATATAGTCTCCGACAGACGTCCAAGCGGCCTCAAGGCAGCTTCAAGATGGCCCAAATAGCCGAGCATGGCTCAAGATAGCCTCCGACAGCCTCTAGCCGAGCATGGCTCAAGATAGCATCCAAGAGGCCGCAAGAACACTGGCAATCAATTCTGGATGGGTTGGTGGGGATACGCGAAGCGTCGAGAATTCCTGTAGGCAAATGTTCTCCGGAACTCCTTTAGGCAAGCCCTCATCGTTCCTTAGCCGTTTTGGCTCCAGCATGCATGTGCGCATGAAGTTTTTTGATAATGAACCTGGATTGGGAGGTTCCTCTGTCTCCAGTGCGGGAGGTGAAGCTAGAATCGAGAGTGAAACGAGAACCGAGAGAGCCGGTCAAGCATGTGCAGGAGTTGAGCAGTTCATCCGGAGTCGACTCAGGAGTTGAGCAGTTCATCCGACCAAACTCAGGCCCTATACGTCTCGGCAAGCGCTTCCACTTACACCAGGTTGAATCAGACCACGTATTGGCGTGTCGAGAGAGAGATTGCGGAACGTGCAGATTCATACGGCTTGGCACCAAATGGGTTGCAAGGCGTGATGTCGGATGGCTCATCGGCAAGTGGTTTGGGTCTAAGTTAGTTGGAGTGGGATGCTCAATTGAGGGGCTGTCGCCTGTAGCATCCGCGTGCACCCCGCGAGCTTTGGAAAGCAACGAGTTTTGGTGTGGCTTGATCTCTTCAATCTTGCGTTTGATCATGCGACTGCATCTCGTTCGCGCACGTGGTGTCGTCGACGTGGTGATTATATGTGTTTCACCTCTCTCTCTCTAAATCTCTCTGCGTGTCTCTCTCGCTCTCTATTTGTGGTTTGCGTGGCCCCTCTCTGCCGCTTGCGTTCCAGGTCATCCATCGTACGCTGCAACCCTCAAGGGTTGAGGGCATCGGATGTGTAAAGCTACCAAAGTCAACGCGGTGTACGGCCGGTGCGAGGTGGGCCCACACGGTGCAGAGCTTCAAATTTGTAATTTGTTTCGCCACGCCTCCAGGCCACAGCATGTTTCTGCTTGCGCCAGTGTCAATGGATTGCCGACGCCACCACAGACGCCCAAGCTGAATCGAGCTGATTTCGAGAGAGTGCTAGAGCTGCGCCGCCAAGGCGGATCCCCCCGGCAAATAGAGCTGACTCTCGCCATGGAGGGCAAGGGTCGCAAGAAGGTGATGCGTTTGCAATACGCGATCGCAGAGGCAATGAGGTTTCAAGCCCGCGAGCACTTGGCCAAATGCTCTTCCATCTGCCTGTGCCAGGACGGCAGCGGGCATAACTTGATCATGCGGTACGCGGGGGCGGACAAGCACATGAACATCTACAAGGGCGTTCTGGGCATAGGCAACCACGTGAAGGCGGGGAGCGGGGCAGAGGGGCTTGCTACGTGCACGAAACAGGTGCGTTGGCTTAGCCTAGCTGCCCGACCCCCCAGACATCAAACTTGTCTGTCGAGTCTGGTTTGGTCTGGGATGAGGGGGCCATCACAGGCCCTCCGAGTGGGCCCCGAGTGGGCCCTCAGGCCCCACAGTGCCCATAGTAGCATACATGGGTCCCCCCATCGGGAGGGGGCGCAGATTGTGGAGAGGTTCTGCACTTACTACGCTGCGCCGCCGAAGAGGGACGGCGCGGCGCTCGCACCTGGGGCCAGACAGGACCAATTGGCGAAGCAGATCACCGAGTCAGTAGAGATTTTTGGGACAGATGCAGCTGCAGACGAACTGGCAGCTGTGAAATCACTGGGGCCTCAAGGCGTTGATACTTTGGTCAGACGGTACCGCGCGTACCTCCCGAATCTTGTCTGCCAGGTCAGGGACCCCACGCATGCCGCTCGCAGGACTGCCGGTTACGCCAAGTGAAAAAGAGCGGGTCTGTCGTTTCGGTGTTGGGTTTCTGGGCGCGGTTCCTAGCAGCCGTAGTCCCGCCAGCCCTTTAGGGCGTAGGTGGTCAACCACCATCCCTTCGGCCTATCCCTACTCCTACCCTGGACCTGGGCGGGAGGGTCCGCAATGGAGCTTCCAAAACGGCCTTAGCGAGGAAGCCAAACTCATTGGTTTTACTTGGGTTTGGGCCCCACTTTGGCCTCCTGGGGGGGGCGAATTGGGGACCCCCCCTCCTCTGATCGATCTCTCCCAAGATGATCCAGAGATGGCCCCCAAGGCTCCCAAGGGCGCCTCATGAGGGCCCCAAGAGGTGGCCAGGAGGCCCCAAGAGGCGCCCAGGAGGCCCCCAGGAGGCCCCCAAGAGGCTCCCAAGAAACTTGTTTTTTTTTTTTCTTTCCAACCGAGGCCGCGACTCCGACCACCGCCCAACCCCATACAGGCATTGCTGTACGGAGAGTGTGTGGGGGGGGGGGGGCATTGCGCCAAGTGGCAGGAGTTGCCACCAAGATAGACAAGGATGCCAACAAAAATCGACCACCCACACAAGGACGACGAGACCTACCACCCAGGTGCAGAGAGCGCCAGGACGCGGCAGGCCTCGCCCCAGATGTGGGGTATGCACGCGGATGCCTGCCCTGAGGGGCCACTGGCAGGAAAATAAACAGTGCACATTAACACGCGCCGTCCGCGCGAACAACTGCAACACGCGAAAGGCACAGGCTGGGCAAGTGCTAGGACGCAGGGGATGGTCCTCTCCCCTCTCCCAGCTTGGACTTAGCCACGGGCGCAAACGAACATTTCAAGATGTAATCACGCCTTCCGCACGAACTCATCGGTGTTACAAGAAAACTGAAAACAGAAGGCGACGCCAGGACGACAAAGCTAGGAACCCCCTGGTGTACTGAACACCAGGACGGCCCCCAACTTTGCCCCTGGTGTGGGCCTGACTCTACCGCCGAGCCAGTGCCCCCATGACGGGCCCTCCAGAGGCGCCTCTTGGGCGATCTTGGGGCTGTCTTGGGCCTTCTTGGGCCCCCCTTGGGGCTGTATTGGGCCTAGCTTGAGGTCCAAGAGACCCATCGGACGCGAAAAGGCGAGAATGGCACAATACCCGATTGTGTTACGATGTTTCCAAGGGTCTGGCACGGGGGTGCATTCTCACCCCGACCGTTGCCTTTCATTGTATCAGACTCTGCTGCCTGAAGTCTTTGTCCCCTGCGTTGGAGCGGATGGCGGCGGGTCCTTGATCGCTCTGCCCAAGAGCGCCCCAAGAGAGCCCCAAGACGCTATTTTTGAGCCTCCGAGGGGGCGGTGCTAATTGAGGGGCCTCCTCTGTTTCAGCCATGGGGTGCAAGATGGCCCCAAGAGGCCCCCCAGCCCCAAAGACCTTCCACCCCGCCCTTTTTGGCCCAATATGGTTCCAAGAGAGCCCCAGATAGCCCAAGATGGCCTTCAAAATGGCTTAATATAGCCAAGCATGGCTCAAGATAGCCTCCGACAGCCCTCCAAGAGGCTTCAAGGCAGCCTCGAGATGGCCCCAAATAACCGAGCATGGCTCAAGATAGCCTCCGACAGCCTCTACTAGCCGAGCATGGCTCAAGATAGCATCCAAGAGGCCGCAAGAACACTGGCAATCAATTCTGGATGGGCTGGTGGGGATACGCGAAGCGTCAAGAATTAATGATCGCGTCGTGGTTGATCGATGTCCTCTGAAATGGCCCCAAGAGCGCTCCCAAGGCTCCCGAGAACACTTCAAGAGGGCCCCAAGAGGCGCCCAGGAGGCCCCAGGAGGCCCCAACAGGCGCCCAAGAGGCCTCCAAGAGACTCCCAAGAGACCCCCCAAAGGCCCCAAGAAGCTCTGCAAGGCACCCACAACAATGAAGATGTGTCCGGGGCCGCCAAGAGGCCTCCAAGACGCTCCGAGAGGTCTCCACTGGGGGGGGCCCTTCATCTGCGTGCTGCCCACTTCCCTGGTCGGTGGGGTTGCGCGAAGCGGGGACTTCAAAAAGCAGCTATATTTGATTTGGCCCGCTCCCAAGGAAGACGTCTCGACCTTGGAACGCCGACCCATATTTGAAAGAACTGCACAAACACATCATGGTTTTTTTTGAGGATTATCCATCACAGTGATATTTTCAAGGAGAGATTCAACGATTTAGTCAGAAGGATCGCCAACAACCCCGCAGCCGACAGCGCCGGGAGGATCAGAAGTGTCAGGGCTGCAAAACATAGGATGGAGTCTGCTCAAATGCCACTGGGGCGTTTTGTTTTATATCATGAAGCTTTCATGACACTGGCACAGGAAATCTGTATTTCCAGACGTGACAAGAAAGAAGGCAAACAATCTCTAGAGTTTTTACGCTACATGGATGATGAAAAATCTGTGACAGCAGCCATGTTGGCTGACGCGGGCGATGAGTCAATGATACACCTTCGATTCTTCGACCGGGAAACATATGATATTTCCAAGATATCAGAAGTGTGCTCTCAGTATAGTCAACGACTGGATTTCCTTTTCGTCAAAGGGCATTGCCAGCGTATGGGCTACACCTTCATAATGCTCCAAAACCTGGCTCGCGTTCGCACTTATGCGCTCCCGCGGGGTGAAGTGAAACAGTTTGGGCGTGCATATGGTGTTTCAGATGATGTAATTGTTAAAGGGCTTTCTAGAATGCAGAATTTCGTCGTGTTGTCTCTTGAAGTATTACGAGCTGAATTTCCAGATTGGGAACTCCTGCGTGCGTTTGAGGTTTTCGACGTGTCCCGGTACGATGGTGAACGGCCAGACGCAACTACCACTGCTTCAGCATTCTTGAGGATGGCGACAGCTTTCAAAGTTTGCGAGAACCAGCTCACTGACCAATTCTATGACTACCTACCCCTGGCATTATCAGCATGGAAGCAAAATCGACAAGCCAGTTCTGTTGACGTGTGGAGGGAAGCAGTCGTGTTGAGGCCCATCCAGGCGCAGACCCGACGGGCCCATCCTTCTGACGTGTTGCTGTCAGTACTTCTTCGGTTGGCTGCGTTTACCGGGTGCACGACCAGTGGACTGGAACAGATGTTGTCCAAGGTAAATACATGGCTTCTTACATCGCGGAGAAAGCTCTTGGACCCCAACCGCGTCGAGGATGAGGCGATGTTGGCGACCGAGCAGTTCGCCAAGTACGACATCGAGCGCTTATACCGGGACGCGGGGGTTGTGTTCCACAAGTGCTTCGGTTTGGCCCGCGTGCGCGGGAAGTCCAAGTTCACGTCGTTCGGCAAACGATCCCGGAGGGAGGCTGTTTCGGGTGTATAACGTTGTTCGGATAATTCGTGCGCGGTTCCCCTGCATGTGTGCGTGCGTTAAACGTGGTTCTAGACGAATGATAATCACGTGACCCCACCGGCCCATCCAGAAACGATGCCCAGCCTCTCGAAGTCTCCTCGGATGTCTTTTGGAGACCATGTGGAGGCCTATTGAATTGGGGCATCCTGGGGGCGTATTGGCGGCCCCAGGTGCGTCTTAGAGCGTCGTGGGTGCATCGGAGAGCCTCCTCAGCCCCATTGGGGGTCTCTTGGGACCGGGAGCCTCTCGGGCGCCTCTTGGGCCATCATGGGCGCCTATCGGGGCCTTGCTGAGGCGCTCTTGGGAACCTTAGGGGCGCTCTTGGGGCCATCTTGGAGGAGATCGATCCCCGTTTCGGGAGCGCCTAAAATCGCGTGTTGGGTCATTTTTGGGGCGCTCTTGTGGCGCCCTTGGGCGCTCTTGGGGCCGTCGCGGGGTTGGCCATCTTGGGCCCTCTTGGCGCCATCTTGAGGCATCGGACGGCCGTCGAAAGCAAACGTGCGAGAAGGGGGGCCCCTAGGTTTTTGAAGGGCTTGGACTGGATCTCTTGGCGGCCTCCTGGGAAGTTTATGTGGCCGCTTGGAGCAGTCTGCAAGCGGTCTTGGGGCCTCTTGGAGCATCTTGGAAGCCATCTTGGGCCATCTTGGGCCGCCTCGAACCATCGTAGGCTCTATGAGGCCCGCTGGGGATTTAATGGGGGAGGGGTAAGCCCGCCCCCGAAGGGGAAGAGGGAGGGGTGGAAGAGGAAACGTTCTAAATCACCTACGCCCGGAGGGCTTGTGGGACTCCCCTGACAACGTTTGCCTTTAAAGGGCTCGCACTTATTATTAGGTGGGCTTATCGAACGCAACATGCCGCAACATAAGGCCTATTATGGCGTGACAACCGATGGCGTAAAGGATTCGCCACGTCCGTGAACGACCGCACGTCGTAAAGGCCTAGCCTGCACCAACACCCCCAATGCAATAACTCACGGTTTGGGGTCCATGCGCGGGGTCCACGCTGGCATCTTGAAGCGCTTCGCGCGATGCGTTCCCGTCCGGGCACAGTCGTCGCGCCTCAGGCCCCTGGGTGCGGCTCGAGGGGGTTCGAAGGGGGTGGTCCTGAAAATTCTAGACGCTTCGCGTAACCCCGCTGGCCCATCCAGAAATGATGCCCAGCCTCTCGGAGTCTCCTCAGACGATGTCTCTTGGAAGCCATGTGGAGGCCTATTGAGGCGTGTTAGCGGCCTCTTGGCGGCCCCATCGGGGAGCCTCTTCGGCCCTCTTGGGGGTATCTTGGGACCTCGTGGCGGCCTCTCGGACGCCTGTCTGTTGGAGCATCCTGGGCGCCTTTTTAAACATTGTTGAGGTGCACACAAGGCAGCATAGCATATCATAGCATAGCCTAATATATCATATCATGGCACAGCATAGCATAGCATAGCATAGCATAGCATAGCGCAACATAGTGTAACATAGCACAGCGCACCAAACGTACCCTAGCATAACATAGCATAGCATATCGCAGCATAGCGCAGCATGGCGCAACATAGCAACGCATGTCTTAACATATCATAACATAGCACAGCATAGCTTAGCATAGCACAGCATAGCAAGGCAAGAGCAACAGCACAAGCAATACAAAGCAACATCAACACCAATGCGAAAGTGTAGATGTAGATGGAGATGTAGGTGTAGGTGTATATGTGGATGTAGGTGCAGGTGTAGGTGTAGGTGTAGATGTAGATGTAGGTGTAGATGTATGTGTATATGTAGATGTAGATGTGAGTCTCGCTGTTGATGTTGGTGTAGATGTAGATGCATGTGTAGATGTAAATGTAGCTGTCGGTGTAGATGTATGTTGCTTTCCTAAATGCTCCAACTCCTAGGTAAGGTCGCACTGGGATAATATTATGTCAATATTTGGATGATGTTGGCCTCTTGGCAACCTCCCGGGAAGTGCCGTGGCCACTTGGGGCCGTCGTGGGGCGGTCTTGGGGCCTGTTGGAGCATCTTGGAAGCCACCTTGAGCCATCTTGGGCCATCTTGAACCATCTTGGAGGTCATATTGGGCTCGCTGAGGCCATCTTGGGGCAATTTTGAACGCTCCAACATCTGGCGGAACGCCTCCTCCAGGGGAGGGGGTAAGGGTGAGGGGTGAAGCCCTCCCCAGAGGGGAAGAAGCAATGCTGGGAAGGAACCGCTCTGAGCCACCTACGCCCAGAGGGCTGGTGGCACTATCTCCCAGTCTCTCACTCTTACGCCCCCCGCATGTTAAACCAGCGAGAAGCTGCGGGGGGGCCGGGGGTGGCAGCCCGCGGCCGTGGGACAAGGGGATGAGGCCCAGGACCGGGGAGAGGAGGTCAATGATGCCAGGATGAGGAAGACGAGGAGGATGATGCCAGGAGGGACGAAAGGGGGGAGGACGATGAGGATGACGAGGATGAGGAGGATGAGGATGGTGACGATGAGGAAGAGGCAGAGAAGTAAGATGAGGGAGTGCGACACGGGCGAGCAGGAAGAGGAGGAGGGGGAAGGGGAGGTGGGGGACCTTTGGCTTCCCCTTGGAGAATCTCACCAGCCCTCTGGGCGTAGGTGGTTTAGAGCGTTTCCCCTTCCATCCCTCCATCTTCTCCTTCAGTGAGGGCTTCACTCCTTCCCCTCACCCCTTCCCCTGGAGGGTGGTGTTCCCGAAGGGTTGGGGTGCCCAAGATGGCCCAGAATGGCTCCAAGAAAAGGAGTAGGAGTAGTAAAGAGGAGTAGTAAAGAGGGGGAAGGGAGGATGAGGCGGATAAGAAATAGTTAAGAGGAGGGGGAGGGGGGGATGAGAAGGGGAGCCGCCCTCTGCCCTGGCAAGCGGTGCTGGCATGCTGCGTGGTCGTGTCGACCTGGCAAGACGGATATTAGATGATGCTGTTGATGATGGCTTTTACCACGCCTCAACGCGCCAGGGGGCACGGTGAGGAGTATGACTTCAAAAGGGGGAGGCGGGGGGGGCAAGGGCGCTACATGAGCGCCCCAGGATGGACCAACATGTGATTTTAAGGCGCTCCGGAAGGGTGAATACTTGGTCCCTTGTTTGATCGATCTCCTCAAAGATAGCCCCGAGAGCGCCCCCAAGGCTCCCAAGATCAGTGCTATGATGTGTTATGATATGCGATGATGCGCTATGCTATGCTATGCTTTGCTGTGCTATGTCATGCTGTGCTGCGCTGTGCTATGCTAAGCAATGCTATGCTATGCTGTGCTATGCTACACTGCGCTATGCTATGCTATGCTAGGCTATGATATGCTGAGCTATGTTATGCTATACTATGCTTTGCTATGCTTGGCTATGCTGCGTTATGCTATGCTGTGCTAGTGCTGCGCTGCGCTATGCTGCGGTACGCTGCGCTGCGCTGCGCTAAGGTAAGCTAATCTATGATAAACTAAGCCAGGTTAAGCTAAGCCAAGCCGGGACACGCTAAGCTAAGCTAAGATGAGATAAGCTAAGCTAAGCTAAGGGTAAGCAAAGCTAAGCTAAGATGAGATAAGCTAAGCTGAGGTAAGCTAATCTAAGCTTAGCTTAGCTAAGCTAAGCTGGGCGAGCCGCGGGGCGGATACTGGCTGGGGGAACCGCGGGGCGGATGCCGGGGGAACCGCCCGGGGCGGTTCCCGGTGCCGGGCCCTTTAAGCCCACACAATAAGAACCCTTCTAGGCAAAGCCTAGGTAGGGAATGGATGACTTGTGGTTTCTCGCTTTGCTGCGCTCGCTTGCCTTCCGAGGCCTCAAGATGGCGCCGAGGTGGCCCAAGAGGGCCCCAAGAGAGGCCCACGAGAGCCCCAGGACGGCCCCCTTAGAGCGCCCAAGGGCGCTCCAAGAGCGCCCCAAGAGCGACCCAAGAGGCGATCTCAGGCAATCCCGAACGGGGGGGGCCCTAATCCCACAAGAACTTCGGGCGTAGGTGGTTTAGGGAGGCGTCTCTTCCGACACCCCTTCTTCCCCTTCGGGGGGGGGGGGGTGCCCCTCACTCATTCCCCCTGAGCCTCCCCTTGGCCTGCGCGTTCGCGCAAGATGGCTCCAAGAGGGCCTGAGAGCCCAAGGTGACCTCCAAGATGGCTGAAGATAGCCACACATGCTTCAAGCTGGCTCCCAATATGCTCCAAAAGGCCCCAAGGCGGCTCCAAGACGCCTCCGAGACCGCCAAGGAGGCGTCCAAGAAGCCAGAATCTTTCTAACACCTAAAGGAAATTAATGATGTTTGATTTCTCGCCGTTGTGCTTCCGATGGCCATCCGAGGCGTCAAGATGGCTCCAAGATGGCCTTGGATGCCCCCAGGAGAGACCCAAGCGACCCCCAAGACGGCCCCAAGAGCGCCCAAGAGCGCCCCAAGAGCGTCCCAAGAGGCGACCTGGGGAATCCCAGGGGGGTGAATTAGGGGGCTTCTCTTCTGTGATCGATCTCCTCCATGGCCATGGGAGTGCTCCGAAGGCTCCCAATGCCCAAGATGGCCCCAAGAGGCGCCCACGCGGCCCCAAGAGGCGCCCAAGATGCATCCAAGAGGCCCCCAAGAGGCCCCCAAGAGGCCTCAAGAGGATGACCGGGGCACCCAAAGACGACGGCCATGGGCTCGCCAAGATGCACCTTCTCTTCGTCTTTCTCTTCCTTCTCCTCCTTATCACCCTCGTCCTTACTATCCTCCTCATCTGATTCATCCTCATTGTCCACTGTCCCTTCATCATTACTCGGCCCATGCGCACCCCAGCAATTGATGACAAGAGGGCGCGGCAGACCTCAAAAGGTCTGGAAAAGAAAAAAACGATTCAATTCGCGGGTCGAAATCAGCAGCCCGCACGCGGCGGCCGTGACCCTGGCTCGCAGGGGGGCCGCAAAATAAGAGCATGGAGTCGATGCAACCATCTCTCCGACAGCTCAGCTGTTAAAACGCGAAGGCATACAGGTGACAAAACCCCCTGTTCAGAACCCAGCACCACGGGCAGACCACGAGCCAAGAGCCGCGACCCGCCCTTGGGGTGCGATGGATGCTAGCCAAGACCCGCAGCTTGGGCACCGTTGGCCCCATGCCAGT